ACAGGTTATCAAGATTAGATATGTTTTCATGTATCTCAAACAAAAAGTTCAGCATATACTTTTATTCCATTCAAGAATCTGGTAATGACTGAGTCTTTGATTTTGTTCAAAGGTTAGACTGTTCATTCAAGCAGTATATACCGAGCAACAGTAGAATGCTTTGGTATAAAAACTTTGTACTCTGTGTTTGTGACAGTGGCCTGGTGTTGGTTTTTGTTGTTATAACAGGTATAAAACATGAAAAAGATACCAAGATGTTTTGGGTATCTCAGGTTGACGTAGTGAGAATACATGATGGCACCTTATCTTGGTAAGGGGCATACATTATATACCGATAACTGGTTACACAAGCCCATTACTCAGTGATTTCATGCGAGTGAACAAGGACAGTGTGTGTGTGGAACAAGTGCGTTCTAATCGTAAACATATGCCCAGGGCCTCCATTGCAGGTGATCATGGTGATGGTAGTAGGGTCAGGTGTTTACTGCCAATGACATCAATTGCACATGACAGTGGCATGACAAACGAGATTGTCCATTGTTGGACCAACCAGTCACCGTATAAATGCAAGCAGTGGCAAAGTGATCGAGTGATAATGATAGTATTCGAAAACAGTGATGAGCTGTGATTGATTATAAACAAAAAACATGCGCTTGGTTGACAAATGTGACATGCAGATTGGTATTGGTTGACTGTGTTCGTAATAGTTACAAGTGAGTATCATGAACTTTCATCCATCTCATTGAGAACATTTCAATGCTCAATGCATATAATGATGTACCTAATAAAGAATGGCAACAGACCACCGTTTGTCGTGAATTTTGTTAGTCGTTGTTCAGACAACTCATAATGAAGTAACAGGTAAGAACACTGCTATACCAACACGGTCCTTTCGAATTCCTCAGGATATACCCAAGCTTTTAGAGGAGGGAAGGTGAATCATTTCATAATACAATCTTCCTTCAACTCAGAAGAAATTTGCTCAGAAGAGATCTTCGTCTGTGCACAAACTAAACGGACCGGCAACAAAGACCGCCAAGACACTCCGGTTTATGTGTGAGGATGTAAGGTGCCTTGTGCATGGTGACTTGTATCAAGGAGTTCCACAGCTCCAGCAGTTCTAAAACCATGTCCATGATTGTAAAATATGTATAATATATGATTGTACATTTAGATTATACAGATTTGTACAAGTTTTTTATAATAAGCAACAATTGTATAAAATAATATGATTAAATAAACTTTAGTCGGTTATTGTGTTCAATACAGTGAGTTTATATATATACTTTATATACAGTATGGGTCTGCTCAGGGCCCCAATGTTAGTAGGAATAGAAAAAAATTGGAAAAGAAAAGAAAAAAAAAACAATAAAACGCACCAAAATAATGTAATGCGCGTATATGGAATTCGTAGATGTTGCGCCACACATCATTTTTGACAAACTTCTTGGCACTGTATTTCGGGGAAGTACTGATTCAGAAATTTTTTTTTGTTTATTACCTTCACAATAATATGCTTCTTTAATTCTGTAAGAAAAAATATTTTTTTTTTTTTTTCAAAATTTCTTGGACACTGGTGCACCACTTCATGATTTTGGCCTTGGACCCTGATGGGGTTATAGATTTGAATTTTATTCACACAAAAATATAGAAGATTTACTGTTATGCAGACTACTGCATTATTGTAATAATTGTACAAATTGTGTAAACCTTTTTGTGACTGCATTATGAGACTGGCCAGGTGGCACACATATTGGACAGTGACGTCCATTTGTTTACTTCTTGAACATCACAAGAATTGACTTTTCCCACGACTTTTGAGCTCATTTTCCAAGTTACTTTTCCTTGTGAAAAGCACAATTCAAAATAGATGGGGTTTAAGAGAAGTAAATGCTGAGGGTCTGACAAGAGGCGTGGAGGTTAAAACGATAAAGAATAACACATCAAGTATGAGTTGTCACTGCCTGCTCTTTGCTGATGACACTGTGCTCTTGGGAGATTCTGAAGAAAAGTTTGCAGAGATTGGTGGATGAATTTGGTTAGGGTGTGCCAAAGAAGGAAATTAAAGGTGAATACAGGAAAGAGTAAGGTTATGTTGCGCTAACAAAAAGGATTAGGTGATGAAAGAGTGTATATCAGATTGGAGGGAGAGAGTATGGAGGAGGTGAATGTATTCAGTTATTTGGGAGTGGACGTGTCATCGGATGGGTCTATGAAAGATAAGGTGAATCATAGAATTGATGAGGGAAAAAAGAGTGAGTGGTGCACTTAGGAGTCTGTGGAGACAAAGAACTTTGTCCTTGGAGGCAAAGAGGGGAATGTATGAGAGTATAGTTTTACCACGCTCTTATATGGGTGTGAAGCATGGGTGATGAATGTTGCAGCGAGGAGAGGGACTGGAGGCAGTGGAGATGTCATGTCTGAGGGCAATGTGTGGTGTGAATATAATGCAGAGAATTCGTAGTTTGGAAGTTAGGAGGAGGTGCGGGATTACCAAAACTGTTGTCCAGAGGGCTGAGGAAGGGTTGTTGAGGTGGTTCGGACATGTAGAGAGAATGGAGTGAAACAGAATGACATTCAAGAGTGTATCAGTCTGTAGTGGAAGGAAGGCGGGGTAGGGGTCGGCTAGGAAAGGTTGGAGAGAGGGGGTAAAGGAGGTTTTGTGTGCGAGGGGCTTGGACTTCCAGCAGGTATGCGTGAGCGTGTTTGATAGGAGTGAATGGAGACAAATGGTTTTTAATACTTGATGTGCTGTTGGCGTGTGAGCAAAGTAACATTTATGAAGGGGTTCAGGGAAACCGGCAGGCCGGACTTGAGTCCTGGAGATGGGAAGTACAGTGCCTGCACTCTGAAGGAGGGGTGTTAATGTTGCAGTTTAAAAACTGTAGTGTAAAGCACCCTTCTAGCAAGACAGTGATGGAGTGAATGATGGTGAAAGTTTTTCTTTTTCGGGCCACCCTGCCTTGGTGGGAATCGGCCAGTGTGATAATAATAAAAAAAAAAAATCTTCCATTCTCTCAAATGAGACCAAAAAAACGAGAATACAGTGGACCCTTGGTAATCAACCGTTCTGGATATCGGCCAATTCGGTTTTCGCTTACTTTTTTGGCAAAAATTCTATCCCGGTTATTGGCCATTATTTCTGAGATCAGCCATATTGAACGCATCCACCCGCCGCTCTGTCGTGTTTGTGAATCAGTCTGGGTGAGGAAGATTCCGTGCATTCATCCAAACATTTTGCTATAATCCATTGTTTTTTGTGGTTATTGATCGAGTGCAACTGCGAAATAAGCCACCATGGGCCCAAAGAAAGTTCCTAGTGCCAGCCCTTTGGTAAAGAAAGTGAAAAACATGATAGAATTCAAGAAAGAACTAGCAAAGTACAAAAGTGAAGGAGGAAGAGAGAGGGGAGAATGTGCCTTCTTCAGTGATTCAGTGATTCTACGATATGTACGATACTAAAGCAGCAAGAGTCGATAAAGGCTATAGCACCAGCCAATGATAAAGTGTAACAGTAACAGTATAGCAAGTAAGTTAAGTGATCAAGCGATAGAAAAAGGACGACACAAAACTGACTCTTCCAATGTTGTGGGAGGTATATAGGGCCACTGACAATATACACTGCCCTGCATATCTTCCACCACCCTAAACCAATGCCAGCATCTCCTCCAAGTGTAAATATTTTTTATTTATAAATTAAAGTGTAAATATTTCTTATTTATAAAATACGTACATTGTTTCAGTGTGAATAGTGGTGGTGGCCTCTGCTGCCACTACCACCACCACTATATGTATGGCTTATGTTGTCAGTGGTCCTTACAAACCCAATAACAAAAACACCACCACCACTATGTAATGACATATTTTAGCCATTCTAGATTATATACTGTGGAACCTTGGCTTACAAAAGCCCCACCATGCAAATTTTCCAGGATACGAACAGTCATTTGGTCAATTTTTCGCATCTGGATATGAATGAAATTTCAGGATGTGAAATCCCCACAGTGGCTCTTGATCTAGAGAATTTGAAATTGGATCTGTGCTCAAGTTCCCTAAATTAATAATAATATTAATAATAATTCTAGGTAGTAGGTCGGTAGACAGCAACCGCCCAGGGAGGTACTACCGTCCTGCCAAGTGAGTGTAAAACGGAAGCCTGTAATTGTTTTACATGATGGTAGGATTGCTGGTGTCTTTTTATTCTGTCTCATACACATGCAAGATTTCAGGTACGTCTTGCTACTTCTACTTACACTTAGGTCACACTACACATACATGTACAAACATATACATAAACACCCCTCTGGGTTTTCTTCTATTTTCTTTCTAGTTCTTGTTCTTGTTTATTTCCTCTTACCGCCATGCGGAAGTGGAACAGAATTCTTCCTCCGTAAGCCATGCGTGTTGTAAGAGGCGACTAAAATGCTGGGAGCAAGGGGCTAGTAACCTCTTTCCTGTCTATATTACTAAATGTAAAAGGAGAAACTTTCGTTTTTCCTTTTGAGCCACCCCGCCTCGGTGGGATACGGCTGGTGTGTTGAAAGAAAGATTAATAATAATTATTTTTATTATTCTTACAATAATACATATGTACTAATATTAATAATGCTAATAATAATATTAAAATATAATATAATAATAATAGTGTTCACTCATTACTTACCTTAAAATATCTGTAGTCTTAATCAAGAGTGAGAGGTGAGTAAACAAGATTAAATGAATAAACGAGAGAGATAATGAGAGTGTAAAAGGTTCAAGAGTTTTATAAACAAACCAGTTGTTGTTGTTGTTACCAGCCTGGATACGAATGGTTTTTGTTCACTCCATCAAGTCGACTGGAAAAACATCTCATATTTATGTTAATTTATATGTTTCATGGTGTATTTATTATATAATTTTGAAAAACATATCATAGATGGAATAAGCAAAATGTCTATATGTATTAATGTTTTATACACATTTAATGTGCCTCAGAGTGATTATTATTGTGTTGTTATTATCATTATTAATATGACGTCTTCAGGACTAATAACACACTCTTAGTGATTTTAACCCTTTGGGGGTTTTGGCCGTACTAGTACGGCTTATGCACCAGGGTTTTTGACGTACTAGTGCGCATAAATTCTAGCGCCCTCAAATCTAGCAAGAGAAAGATGGTAGGCCTACATATGAAAGAATGGGTCTATGTGGTCAGTGTGCGCAGTATAATGAGAAAAAAAAAACTTTGACCGTGTTTTTGGACTAAAACAGCAACTTTGCACTGTATTTTCGTATGGTATTTATTGATGTATTCTAGTTTTCTTGGCCTCATTTTATAGAATGGAAGAGATATTATAGAAATTGAGATGATTTTGACTGGTTTTACAATGAAAAGTACATTGAAATTGAGCTCAAAGTAGCAGAAATGTTCGATTTTTACTAAAGTTCAAAAGTAAACAAATTATGCTAAGCGTCCAATACACGTCAACTGGTGGGTCTAATATTCTTTCACAAGTGCGCCGATATTATTTATACCATTTCTACACTAATGCAGTAGTCTGCATAACAGTAAATCTTATTTTTTTTGTGAGAATAAAAAATCAAAGTGGAAAGCAAAAGAAATGTAAGAGGGGCCTGGGGACGTGACTAATGAACAGAGGAAATGTTATTTTAGTGCCAGGAATGTCTTTCTTGTTTATTCTGGACCCTATTTGGAAATTGGCATCTTTTGAAATTTGTGTGAAATTGGCAAAATTGCTAAATTCTGACCACTTTATTGGATAGTTGAAATTGGTAAATGGGTGATTTCTTGTACTCATTCGATAGAAAAAACGGAATTCTAGTAAAATAGCTATGATTTTTGTCAACTAGTACACTGGAATTGGCCGAAAATAGGGCTCAAAGTGGGCAAAAATCACCGATGCGTAAACATCATCGAGACCGCTAACTTCGGGAGAGCATAATTCCGTAAGTTTTCCATCAAATTTCATACTTTTGGTGTCATTATGATCGGGAAAAGATTCTCTATGTTTTCACAAGAAAAAATCATTTTTTTTTTTTTTTGGAAATTTTGGCGACCCTGAGAACAAGTCTCTGAGAGGGCCTGGCAACCCCCAAAGGGTTAATGTGTACCTGCATGCCAGCACAGGCACAAGATGTGGAGTTTAAAGCAGTTAAGTTCAGTGACAAAGTGTAGCATTAAGAGTGTAGCAATTAAGCGATAGAAAAAGGACAAAACGAAATAAACTCCTGACAGCATACGCCGCTCTGCTTATCCTCAATTCAAAGTTTATTCTCTATAAGGATTACAATGCTGAGTTTACAGAATTTGGTTATTGTGTGGTTTACATGTAGTAAAATAATAATTACAGAATGTACCACTAGAACACCTAGCATGGCTAAGCATTTCGGGCAGACTTAAATTAAATCTTAAGTTTAAAATATTACAAAATTATGAGGTAAGTTGGTATTATGGCTAAGTGACTAAATACTAGTTTGTGAGTTTAGCAATGTGAATGCTTTTGTTTTGGCACTATACATAGTTTCAGTATTGGAGTATCACAGGCCAACTTATGACTAGTTAAGATTCATTATTTTGAGATTGAGATTGATATTTCTGTTTATGGTCAAATGGGTGAGTGAGTGTAAGTGTTAACCACCAGGTGGTATTCGTGTAATTAGTTGACAGGGTGTATCAGGGAGATAAGATGTTTTCTGATGGTAGTTTTGAAGGTGATGAATGTGTCTGCAGTTTTAGAATTTTCAGGTAGGGTGTTCCAGATTTTAGGGCCTTTGACATACATTGAATTTTTGTAAAGGTTTAGTCTGACACGGGGAATGTCATAGAGATGTTTGTGTCTGGTGTTGTGCCTGTGGGTTCTGTCGCAACTATCAAGAAAGCGTTTTAGGTCAAGGTTAATATTGGAATTTAAGGTCCTGTAGATGTAGATTGCACAGTAGTAAGTGTGGATGTACTGAACAGGGAGTAAGTTTAGATCTATGAAGAGTGGGGGGTGTGTTGCCAGGGATGGGATTTAGTGATTATTCTTACTGCGGCTTTTTGTTGGGTTATCATTGGCTTTAGGTGTGTTGCTGCAGTTGAACCCCAAGCACAGATAGCATAGGTGAGGTATGGATATATAAGTGAATGGTATAGTGTGAGAAGGGCAGTTTGCGGCACGTAGTATCGTATCTTGGAGAGGATCCCAACTGTTTTGGATACTTTTTTGGTTATGTGTTGGATATGGGCACTGAAGTTCAGGTTGTTGTCGAGGTATAGGCCTAGGAATTTGCCCTCATTATGCCTGGCAATTAGAGTGTTGTCAATCTTAATGTTAATTTGCGCATCTCCTGCTCTGCTACCAAACATAATGTAGTAGGCTTTGTCAGTGTTAAGCGTAAGTTTGTGATGAATGGTTTGAAAAACCGACGGTTTTTCAAACCATTCATCACAACTGTCAGACACGGCAGCATCATGGGGTCTTGTTACAAAGAATTCTTCAACACTTGTTCAACCTTTGGACGAAGACCTACTTCGACTAGTGGATGGTACCACTATGACCCCGCCTCCATCTGCTTCACGTCACCTCACTACAGTATATAAGCCACGTCTACGGCCCTATGCTGTACATTCTACAAGATTGATGGACTGAACACATCGACTCCAGGTTGAGGGACTGATTACCTCATTCTCCTCCTCTCCTTACGCCTTCCTCTTTGTATTGGACTGATGAAGCCACTGTGTGGCGAAACGTTTCCTGAATAAAGATTCCCATATGCTGCATAAGTGTCTCAATCTTCAAGCGTAAGTTTATTGGCTGTCATCCAAGTCGATATTTTGCAAGGTATGTAAATGGTGTACGTACACCAGTTCATTTCTACATTATAGTTTTCTTATGAAAGAAGTGATCTAATGCAGTTAGCCTCACCAACTCCATTTTCTCTTATACTAACATGTCTGAAGGAGGAAAGAATGGGAAGATGTTTTCATAGCTTGAGTGTGAATGCCCGCAACCATCATCCTCCCCCGCCACCATACATACAGTGGACCCCTGGTTTACGATCACCTCCCAATGCGACCAATTATGTAAGTGTATTTATGTAAGTGCGTTTGTACGTGTATGTTTGGGGGTCTGAAATGGACTAATCTAATTCACAATATTCCTTAGGGAAACAAATTCGGTCAGTACTGGCAATTGAACATACTTCTGGAATGAAAAAATATCGTAAACCGGGGATCCACTGTATTTTATTCACTCTAGAGTGTATATCAGGTTTTTATGTTATTTATATTGTTTACATGTATTATGTCATATTAGATGAATTGTGATAAATAAATAAGCCGTAGAGCTGATATTAGTGTCATATTGAAGTACTCCTTTGTCATGCCTCCTGACAGCAGGAATTCCCCTGGAATGAATTAAAGGCATTTCAATTAATTTAAATGAGGAAAATTAACCCAGCATACAAACGAATCAGGATACGAACAAGGTCACAGAACAGATTAAATTCGTAAGCAGAGGTTCCACTGTATCACATTTCTTTGTTATTAATATTGTTTATTATGTCATATCAGATGAATTGTGATAGATAAATAAGCCGTTGAGTTGATAATAGCGTCATATTTAAGCATTCTGTCCTGTCTCCAAACAATAAACTCGCCTCCCTCTCCATTCCTCGCCATTTTGCATATGCCAACAAGACTCTTCAATAAAGGTAAAAGTGATTTAAATGTTCATTTATCCATTTCATTAGTCATTTTATTTAGTTCTCATTGTTTTGGGTATGTAAAACTATAGTTAATCTTTAAAAAATGTATTTTTTGTTAATATTTTTGGGTGTCTGGAATGGATTAATTGTATTTACCTTAATTCTTATGGGAAATATTTCAGTTTTCGGCCATTTCAGTTTTAGTCCGACCTTCTGGAATGGATTACGGCCAATAACTGAGGGTCCACTGTACAACGATAAAAACAATACAAAAATATACCACTAAGGGGCAGCTAATGGCTGAGAAGTGACCTCCGTTATTTATGGTCCGATTTCTTTCACCTGATATAATATTCAATTCTCCTGTAATCACTCCAACTCGTCTAATGACCGTATGACTTATGTATTGCCTTACTATTCTTAAGTTAATCTTTAAGTTTGCTCAAAATGCTCAGCATACAGAAGGGCTTTTGGCATGTACACCCAACTATTATATTCCTCTGTACAACCATGTAATTTGTCAAAATAAAAAACCTAACTCTAAATCTAAATTACTGCTAACCAGAACTCCTAAATCCTTTTTGCAATCCGTAATATTAAGATGTACATTATTTAGTTTATATGTGGCATGGTTATTTTCCTGTCCAACATTTAGAACTTTGCATTTGTTTCCATTAAACTGCATCTGCCACTTCTCCGATCACTGGAGTGCTCTAATGTCCTCATAAGAATGAAATGGACGGCCTATTTTGGTGTCATCAGCAAATTTGCTTAAGTCACTATTTATTCCCTCATCTATGTTGTTTATGTAGATTGTGAACAACAAGGGGCTCAACACTGACCCCTGCGGAACACCGCTTGTGACATGCCCCCATTCTGATTTCTCCCCATTTATGCAAACTCTCTGCTGCCTGTATGTCAACCATGCCTCTACCCAGGAAAAAATTTCTCCTCCTATTCCATGTGCCTTAAGTTTTCTCAACAGCCTCTGATGTGGAACTCTATCAAAAGCCTTACTGAAGTCCATATACACAATATCATATTCAATACCATGATCTACCTCCTCAAATACGTACCATAGTGAAAAAAGTTAGTAAATTTGTAAGACAGGAATACCCCTTTGTAAAGCCGTGCTGAGATTCCTTAATCAATTTATGCTTTTCAAGATGGCTATGAATTGCTTTGGCAATTATTGATTCCATAAATTTACCAACTATGGAGGTAAGGCTTATTGGTCTATAGTTCGAAGCTAAGGACCTGTCACCTGCCTTGTAAATAGGTACTTATTACATTTGCCAATTTCCACTTGTCTGGCAATATGCCAGTTTGTAGTGATATACAGCAGACCGTCATTTAGCACGAGTTTATTTGGCACGATTCGGGTATAGCTGTTACCCACGGGATTGGCTGTGAGCTACACCATTGAGTCAATGGGGGAGGCCTGCCACCAACCCCGCCACCCTGGGCCACCCACACGATCTTCTGGGAGCTAGCTGTGTTTGTTTAGATACTTATTTTAATTGCCATATCTTAAATCTGCTAAGCAATCGTGGCACCTAGTAGGCATACGAGTGTTGCTGAAAGTAGCAAGAAAAGGTTGAAGCGTGTTAAGTCTAGGAATTACGAAGAAAATCGAGATATTAGATAAGCTTAAGAGTGGCTCACATGTGGAGGATATAGTGAGGGCCTATGGCCTTAATGAAGCGTCAGTTCATACAATTAGTAAGAACAAGGTGAATACATGAGGTAGTGTAATAAATAATCCAAGATGTCATCTCATGAAAAGAATGACACGTAGATCACAACAAGTAAATAAAACAGAAAACTTGTTGCTTGAGTGGATCGAACAAAAGACAAAGAAAGGCACACCATTTAATTTCAACCTAATTAAGGAAAAGGTCTTACATTTGTTTAAAGCAGTGTGTGATAAGGAAGGAAGGTCTGAAAATGAGTGTATGTTTAGCACAGGTTGGTTCCAAAACTTTAAGTTGCACAAGTTTCATAATGCTGTAGTATTAAGTTTTCTGGTGAAAATGCTTCAGCTGATCATACAGCAAGTAATTTCCCTGCTGAATTGCAGGAAATTATTTCTAAGGGTGGCTATGAGCTACATCAAGTGTTTAATGCTGATAAAGACAAGTGTTTTTTGGAAGAAAATGCCAACACGAACTTATATCAGTCAGCAAGAGAAAAGTGCACTGGGCTTCAAGGCAGCAAAGGATCACTTCACCTTGCTCCTTTGCGGTAATGCATCAGGTGATTTCAAGTGTAAGCCCATGATTATTTACCACTCTAAGAATCCTTGTGCTTTGAAAGGTGTATATAAAAACACCTTACCAGTAATTTGGAGGTCAAACCAGTCAGCCTGGATGACAAAGGAAATATTTATTGACTGGTTTAAGCATCATTTTATTCCTGAAGCTATGTTTTTACCTGCACAGCAAGAACCTTGCATTCAAGGCTCTCTTCATTCTTGATAATTCCCATACTCATCCACAAGCTTTGCTGGATGTGACCCCACATGTAAAAGTTGTATTTTTACCTCCAAATGGAATATCTCTAATTCAACCACTGGACTGGGAAGTTATTAAGTCATTCAAGCGTAACTACATAAAAAAGTTACGAAAAAACTAGTTGCATCAATGGATTCTGACTCCAGCTTGACAGTACCAAGCTTCTGGAATAAATTTAACATTGCAGATGCTATCAGCTATGCTAGAAGTGCATGTAATGAAGTGCCCCAATCAACATTAAATGCAGGCTGGGGAAAGTGATGGCCTTCTGTAGTTAATTCTTTCACTGGTTTTTCCTTGCTTGAGAGTCAGGTTCAGGAAATTGTTCAGCTGGCAAGGAGATTACCAGGTGATGGTTTTGAAGATATGAATGAAGATCTGAATGCGCTCTTAGAGGATAATGATGATGAAGACAGGAGTCCAGAGGAAATGTTGGCAGAGCTTCATGCACAGATACAAGGGAGGAAGATAACATAAGATTAAGAAGAACCTGAAGTAAAACAGTTAATCTTGCAGCAGTTACGTGAGCAGTTCCATATTATTGGTAAAGTTGCAGACTTTTTCACTGAAGAAGACCCTGACAAATCTAGAAGTAGTGTTTTGAAACAGGGTCTAGACCAGCTGACGATGCCTTACCTTCAGCTGTATAATGTACTGCAGGGTAAAAGAGTCCAGAGATCCATTACAGAATTTATGCACACTCCAATACAACCATCGACTTCAGTACCAGAACCTCAACCATCCACTTCTGGCAACAACCAACAACCATCCACCTCAGCCCAGAAGGGCCACACCATGCATATCCACTCTCTTCACAATCATCCACAAACACCATTACCCACAATTTAAAGTAAGAAATACTATTATTTCTATTGCATTTCTAGCCTTAAGCAGTAATATATTACAATAATGAACTACAATTACATATTCACTTTTATTTTTGTAAGATCTGTTGGTCTAAAAAAAAAAGTCGTTTGGCTTTTTGGAGGCTCTCAGGAATGTAATCCTATTTTTCCCATGAGTTCTTCAGTTCATCTGAAGTGATTTTACCTAGCACAGCTTTTTCAGGAACGTAAGTACACCTACCATCCGACTTACGACCTGCTCGACTTACGACCGCTCGACTTACGACCGTGTTTTTTATGCAAAATTTCTGGGAAATAAACAACTATTTGTGTTGTACAAAGTGTTCATCCTAAACCTTACAGTATAAAATACAGTACTAACAGCATAAAAAGTAAAGTAAACATGAAATACCAAAATAAAACAATAAAATAAAGCCATTACAAAAATGTTTTGTTGATATTCAGTAGTAAAGTTCGACTTACGACCATTTCGACTTACGACCGGTTTCTCGGAACCGAACTCAGTCGTAAGTCGGATGGTAGGTGTACTGTGTTAACCCTTTGGCTGTTTTGGTCGTATATATACATCTTATGCACCACTGTTTCTGACGTATTTATACGCGTAAATTCTAGCGACTTCAAATCAAGCGGAAGAAAGCTGGTAGGCCCACATGTGAGAGAATGGGTCTGTGTGGTCAGTGTGCACCACATAAAAAAAATCCTGCAGCACACAGTGCGTAATGAGAAAAAAAAAAACTGACCGTTTTTTTGGATTAAAACGCCGTATAGTATTTATCGTTGTATTCTCGTTTTCATGGTCTCAGGTGATAAAATGGAAAACATATTACAGAAATAGAGATGATTTTGATTACTTTCACGATGAAAACGACCTTGAAATTGAGCTCAAAGTAGTGGAAATGTTCGATTTTTACCAATGTTCAGGAGTAAGCAAATCACACCACACGTCCAATACACTTCAACTGGGGAGTCTAATATTCTTTCACTAGTGCACTGATATTATTTATACCATTTTCACAATAATGCAGTAGTCTGCATAACAGTAAATTTTGTATTTTTTGTATGAATAAAAACTCAAAATAGAAAGCAATAGTAATATAAGAGGGGCCTAGAGATGTGAATAATGAACAGAGGATATGTTATTTTAGTGCCAAGAATGTCTACATTGTTTATTCTGGACCCTATTTTGAAATTGGCATCTTTTTTAATTTGCATGAAATTTGCGAAATTGCCAATTTCTGACCACTTTATTGGGTAGCTCAAATCGGTAAATGGGAGGTTTCTTGTACTCAACAGATAGAAAAAATGGAGTTCTAAAGAAATAGCTATGAGTTTGGTCAACTGGAACAATGGAATTGGCCAAAAACAGGGCTCAAAGTCGGGGAAATCGCCGATGCATATATGTCGCCGAGACTAATTTCGCGGGAGCGTAATTCCATGAGTTTTCAACCAAATTTCGTACTTTTGGTGTCAATACCATCGGGAAAAGATTCTCTATCATTTCATAAGAATTTTTTTTTTTTCTAAAAGTTTATTGACATAAAATGACAGTTTCAGAAAGGGGCCTGCGACAGTCAAAGGGTTAAATGACGGTCTACTGTATTGAAAACATTAGCCAAAGGTATGCTAAGTTCCTCTTTACATTCCTTTAAAACCCTTGCAAACTGTTCATTATGGCCTGGGGATTTGTTACGTTTTAATTTCTCTATTTGTCTGAGGACCATGTTACTAATTACCCAAATTGTGCATAGTTTTATTGTCCTGTTCTACATAATTTATTATTTCTGGAATTTTGTTAGTATCTTCCTGAGTAAAACTGAGAGGAAGTAGGTATTGAAAAGTTCACACATTTCCTTATCACTGTCAGTGATCTGACCTGAGTTACTCTTAAGTGGGCCTATCTTGTCCCTAATCTTACTTCTCTATACCTGAAAGAACCCTTTTGGGTTAGTCTTCGAATCCCTTACGACTTTAGCCTCATAATCCCTTTTTGCTTTTCTTATTCCTTTTTTATTTCTCTCTTTAATTAAATATAGTGATTTCTTGACTGCCCTCCCCCTTTTGATATGCCTATATATGCCTCTCTTTTTGACCAATGAGATGTTTTAATCTAATGTTTATCCATTTGGGATCATTTTTGTTACATCTAATTTCCCTACTCGAGAACATTAATCCATCTATGATATTTTTTCATAACTATATAAGAAACATGCTACATAACATATATGTATACATAATACATACAACCACAGTAGAATAATTCAACATAAATATGAGATGTGGTAGCCAGGCAGCTTGTCAGAGTGATGGCAAGAATTATGTTTTCTCTAGTCCAACACCAGAAAAAATGTGTACACAATGATATTACTGGAGGTACTGTAGAAAATTATTCCTTTTGTATGTCTTCATTGGTAGCTATTTATTTATTCTATTGCACTAACGTGAAGACAGCTTGTGCACAATTTAAGTGTGATTGTATTGTGGGGTAAATACTTCGCAAACTCAAGCCACTGCACGTGTTTGAACCAAAACTGGACAGGTATTAATACATGTTTATTATGAACCAGTGATTACTTCCAGTTGCATGACCCCTGTGTTAGTAAATTTATTTAGGTACAGGTACACAAAAGTACAGTTACCTAAATTTTCATACATAGGAGCGTATGTGTAGATTACCTAGGATAACCCAAAAAAGTAAAAGTGACTTATTTCCATTGGTAACTAAGGGTAGTTGTTAGAAATGATTAAACTCAGTGAACAAGGTGTGTCGATGGTAATAATAATATGATAATAATATGATGATGATGATAATAATAATAATGATAAATATCATAATTGCTCTGAGGTGCTTTAAATTTGTTTATTTGGTGTAGGTGTGGTAGCCAGGCTACCACACCTGACTTTCAATAATAAATACTACTCACCTTTCATCCTACATTAAAACTACAAATATTTTAAGGTAAGTAATGAGTGTACTGTGTGTGTATTTTACTTTCTGTTTTTAATGCCTAGTTCTATTGCTAACTTAATATATGTTAGTGTGAACTTTTTATCTGGCATTTATGTGCATTTATAAATGGAAAAATGGCGTTCTGCTTTACTGTGATTTCCGCTTTATGGTGGTAGCCTGAAACCTAACCTGCCATATAAGTGGGGCCCTACTGTACTTGGTTTGCACAACCCTATTAGATGTATTATTATAATCAAAACAAAGCGTTAAACCTACCAGGGTAATATAGAGCTACACAACCCTAAATCTTCTTTATTCCTCTGCAATCTTATTTTCTGCCTTAACCATACTCATTCTATAATAATTCTACTGTACAATATACTCTGTATACTAAACAAGCTTATTCTCCTATAGTTCTTAGACTATCTCTTGTCTAATTTTCCCTTATACAAAGGAAATATGAATGCTCTCTGCCAATCCTTAGGTAACTTCCCTTCTATCATGTGGTATACTATATTAAAGAAATACACCAGTACAGTTCCCTATGCAAGAAATACATACACTGCACTGTTCAAGTTATTCAGCTCAACAGGTTCCTTAAGTCAAATACAGTATTGTACTGTACATTAACTAGGACCAACATGTAGTTATTGTAGGTATGCAACAGTACTGCAATTCTAACTTTATTGAAACTTGCATTCAATTATGAAATTTCATCAGACTTATTTAGAACTGCATAACTTCATGAGGTTTTCATCTTTCATGAGTGCATCAATGTGTTCCTGAAGCAATATATCTGCAGCATCTCCAGGAGAGTAGACTCCATCCATCACTTCAACTTCAATTTTTTTAATTCTCTCCTTGAACCCAGGAGCACTGATAAATGTTGTAACCAGGCTGTCTTTCAGGTGAGTCCATAACCATGCCCGTCGCTGAGACCTACGGCGATTCACAAAATCCCCGCAATCCTCCATGGTTGCCCTGTACTTCTGCATGAGCTGCCACAACTCTGGAATTCCTTCTCCAGTTATTGATGATATTCGTTTTACTTGTGTTGACCATGACTTATTTTTTGGGCGGATATATTTGAGAGCTGATATATATTCATACTGCATACGTCTAGAAGCAGGAATAAGATCTCCGTCACTCTTGTTGACTACAATGAGATCGCTCATCTCCATAATTCCTCTCTTCAGTCCTTGTAATTCATCTCCTCCACCAGGAGGAATAATAAGGGCAAAGAGATCTACCATATCAGCAACAGAAAACTCACTCTGACCAACACCTATTGTCTCCACAATTATAATGTCAAATCCTGCTGCTTCACATAATACAATGGCCTCATTAGTAGAACGAGTCACCCCTCCTAAATGACCCTGTGAAGGAGATGCTCGTATGTATGCATTCATGTCACGGGATAGTTCGTGCATGCGTGTTTTATCCCCCAAAAGGGACCCTCCAGTAGTGGCTGAAGATGGATCAACTGCTAATACGGCTACTTTATGGCCTTGTCTGGTTAAAAATTTACCAAAATTTTCAATGAAAGTTGATTTTCCAGCTCCAGGAGGCCCTGACAAACCCAAACGTAAACTTAAGGCTTTGGTCCCATATGAATAATATAAATTTTTGGCATCAAGTAACACTTCAGTTAAAAGTTGTCTTGCTTGAAGCTTCTTTTTCGGGTGGGAAGTTTCCACAAGTGTGATGGACTCGGCCAAGCTTGCTCGGTGGCCTTTCCGCAGTCCTTCAAGTAAGCGCTGCACCACTGGATCTCCAGCCCCTGCAGAACAGCACTAGTTTGAAGTGTCTTCATGACTTATTTGGCATCAAACTTTTCTTATTATCAAATTAATCACTCTGATCATATGAAAAAAAAAAAAAAAAATCTTTAGGAATTAAAATAATTCAAACTTCATTTATGAAGGAGCAAAAGAAATTTCAATTTCCTGAAGTACAGTGCCATGTCATTGATCAAGGTCCCCGAGTTGAGCTGAATATCAAAAGCTGCAGTCAAACAGTCCTAGCATATAAAGACTACAGTACTACACAGCAAATGCTCAATTTTCCGACCTTTTGCTTGCCATCACAATCAACTGCCCATTTGCTGGTTGGAATATGATTCCCACACTTAACAAACCAAAGGCTTTGTGACATTACTGCCAACAGACCCCTGGCAGTCTTCAAGCTGGCACTGGACAAGCACCTAAAGTCGGTTCCTGACCAGCCGGGCTGTGGCTCGTACGTTGGTTTGCGTGCAGCCAGCAGCAACAGCCTGGTTGATCAGGCTCTGATCCACCAGGAGGCCTGGTCACAGACCGGGCCGCGGGGGCGTTGACCCCCGGAACTCTCTCCAGGTAAACTCCAGTGTAAATTCTCAACATTAAATGCTAGCTAACCAGAAGTTGTGGACATTTATTAATTGTATCACCACTAAAAAAATTCATAATATTTTGACAGTAGATTGGTAATTAACATAACAATTTTACTGTACTGTTTAGAAGTCTACAAAAAAAAACTACTTGGTAACCCAACCAGAGTAGAGAACATATTCCTATTTTCATTTTAATAGGTAAACATAATTTTAACACATTTATATACACTCATTGACTTTAGCAAGTTTACTTCTTAAAATTTCAAACGTATACTTATTAAGAACACCCAGACATTAAGTACACTGCAAAAGAACTATTTTGATGTAAACAGAAACTGTTATTCTTTTAATATATACATAGTGTATGATGCATGACCCATATTGAATTAGGTTTAGTTTTCCAATATAATAAAAATATATTTATAGCTTTAATATCAAATAACCATCTACATAATAATCCTACTTATCAATGGAAATTGTGGACCCCAATGGAAATAAGTCACACTGTTTGACTTTACTGGGTTAATATTGATTATATCCACATAATATATATGCACCCACATCTGCAATATCTACATAAAAATTCAATTTATATATACTAATTCTTGATCTAACTAAGAAATGATAATCTGGAACCATTAATAATGGTACAAGATTGTTCTCTTTACTTTAGACTATAAACTACTAGGTCTCCAGGTGAAATGTTTCAATAAAAGTTTTCAGTCTGCCATAGTTGCTTTATATCTTCTCTATTTATTTATGTTTTAATCAGGGCATGTGCCAAACCCAGGGGACATGTAGCACCCAGGAAATGGGAGGCATTCAGATTTGATCTGAGTTCAGCAGATGGAGAGCCTCTAACCTAGACTTTATTATTATAAATCAATGTGTTACAGGTCTGTCTACTTTGAGCCTAAATTGCTACAGGTTAATGTACTATAAACCAGAGATGCTACAGGTCTGTCTACTTTGAGCCTAAATTGCTACAGGTTAATGTACTATAAACCAGAGATGCTACAGGTTAGTGTACTATAGACTAGAGATGCTACAGGTTAATGTACTATAAACCAGAGATGCTACAGGTTAGTGTACTATAGACTAGAGATGCTACAGGTTAGTGTACTATAAACCAGAGATGCTACAGGTTAGTGTACTATAAACTAGAGATGCTACAGGTTAATGTACTATAAACCAGAGATGCTACAGGTTAGTGTACTATAGACTAGAGATGCTACAGGTTAATGTACTATAAACCAGAGATGCTACAGGTTAGTGTACTATAGACTAGAGATGCTACAGGTTAGTGTACTATAAACCAGAGATGCTACAGGTTAGTGTACTATAAACCAGAGATGCTACAGGTTAGTGCACTATTAATAAAACTAGAGATGCTATAGGTTAGTGTACTATAAACCTAGAGATGCTAAGGTTAGTGTACTATAAACCAGAGATGCTACAGGTTAGTGCACTATAAACTAGAGATGCTACAGGTTAGTGTACTATAAACCAGAGATGCTACAGGTTAGTGCACTATAAACTAGAGATGCTACAGGTTAGTGTACTATAAACTAGAGATGCTACAGGTTAGTGTACTATAAACTAGAGATGCTACAGGTTAGTGCACTAAAAACTAGAGATGCTACAGGTTAGTGTACTATAAACTAGAGATGCTACAGGTTAGTGTACTATAAACTAGAGATGCTACAGGTTAGTGCACTATAAACTAGAGATGCTACAGGTTAGTGTACTATAAACTAGAGATGCTACAGGTTAGTGTACTATAAACTAGAGATGCTACAGGTTAGTGCACTAAAAACTAGAGATGCTACAGGTTAGGTGACTATAAACTAGAGATGCTACAGGTTAGTGTACTATAAACTAGAGATGCTACAGGTTAGTGTACTATAAACTAGAGATGCTACAGGTTAGTGCACTAAAAACTAGAGATGCTACAGGTTAGTGTACTATAAACTAGAGATGCTACAAGTTAGTTACTATAAACTAGAGATGCTACAGGTTAGTGTACTATAAACTAGAGATGCTACAGGTTAGTGTACTATAAACTAGAGATGCTACAGGTTAGTGCACTATAAACTAGAGATGCTACAGGTTAGTGTACTATAAACTAGAGATGCTACAGGTTAGTGTACTATAAACTAGAGATGCTACAGGTTAGTGCACTATAAACTAGAGATGCTACAGGTTAGTGTACTATAAACTAGAGATGCTACAGGTTAGTGCACTATAAACTAGAGATGCTACAGGTTAGTGCACTATAAACTAGAGATGCTACAGGTTAGTGTACTATAAACTAGAGATGCTACAGGTTAGTGTACTATAAACTAGAGATGCTACAGGTTAGTGCACTATAAACTAGAGATGCTACAGGTTAGTGTACTATAAACTAGAGATGCTACAGGTTAGTGCACTATAAACTAGTGATCCTACAGGTCAGTGTTATTTTTTGCTACGGGTGTATACTGTACTTTATTAAACATGTTCTTTCTTATTCTTTTAAGATTCTGCTAAACAAAACTCACCTCTTCTGGCAACAGATACATTCTTTATGCCACGTACTAAGGTCTGACACATCTGTCTGGAAAATAATACCCCAGCCATTCTTGTTATTGTTGGGTTTGTAAAGGGCCACTGACAACTTACTTCGTATCAAGCATTGCTTCCTGATGGAATACAAACAGGAATACAAACACAAATTTTGTATTAATTAATATTATTAATATTAATTAATACAAATACATATGTTTATTTCCTTGTAAAGCTTACAATGTGTTGTTTACATGTTATAAGATTTAAATTAGTTTTAGTCTGCCCGAAGTGCCTAGGCACTTCGGGGAGACTAATACTAATTCTTAAGCTATTTTGATATATGTCATATTTGAGCAGTACATTTGAACATGTTATTAAGTACTTAATTAGGAACATTCTCAGTTAGGTACATACATAATTAGGTTTAAAATAGTTAGGTAGTCAAATCATTTAATATTAGTACAAATGGCAGATTTAGTAATGGGAATCGATTTGTCTTGGGTAAAGCCATACTGGAGGAGTATCTTAGACAAACTTAGGATTAACTTAAGATTTAATAAGACTAACATAAGATTTAATAGGCAATAGCGATGAAAGAAAATAAAGAAAATGTGAATATAACTTTGGTTTTTCAGACAAGTTTACGAAACATTGTCAGGAAGAAACTAGCAAAGGAGCTTGAGGAAAGTAGAACAGTACAGATAGAAACTAGCAAATTCATTATCCATCATAAGGAAATATGTGACGTCAAAGATATCTTATGGAGAAAGTGACAAGATTAGTAGATTGCAAGATGTTGTTACTACTAGACTAAGGCTAGGATATAAGTATTTCTGACAATACGACTCACGAAATCGTAATGACACGATTGCAAACAAACCATACTACGGGCGGCACTAGAACCTGCGATCAGAGAATCTCAAAACTCCAGACCTTCGCGTCTGGAGTTTTGAGACTCTCTGATCGCGGGTTCTAGTCCCACCCGTGGTATTTTTTTTTTCTGACAATACAGTTTGTATGGATATGTCAGTGACATAAAATGCAAAGTGTTTACCTGGAGAGGGTTCCGGGGGTCAACGCCCCCGCTGCTCGGCCTGACACCAGGCCTCGTGGTGGATCAGGGTCCGATCAACCAGGCTGTTACTGATGGCAGCACGCAAACTGACGTATGAACCACAGCCCGGCTGGTCAGGTACTGACTTTAGGTGCCTGTCCAGTGCTTTCTTAAAGACAGCCAAGGGTCTATGTGGAAAATACTGTATATATTTTCCAGAAATTCAGTATTTATATGTAAATAGATAGCCATACTGTATTTAATAATATATATGTCATAGAAAACGGAAAGCCTGCATCTGCGCAGACGGGACTCGCCATCTTGGTTTTGAATTGGATACAACGTTAATATAATGGGAAGAATTTTTCGTGCTCTAGAGGCTGAAATTGGGCTGACACCTCTCAAATAGGAGGCAAGATTGTTGGACATGCATTCCTGCATAACTTGAGATATCAGACGACTGGACAAGACAGCTCCAGGAACCTCAGATAAGCTCTCTAGATTTGTGTATAATTCTGGCCAGTGTTTTCATAAATTTAGTTAGTGAGGTTTTTCTGAGTATGATACAACTTAATATCCAGTCAAATTGGTGAGTGATATTAAGATATATTTTCCTTCTGTTATGTATATGTGTATTTATATATAATCATTTTTAATTTAATATACAGTCCACAAATTTATATATTTACCAGAATTCCTTGTGATGTATAATTCATTTAATTAATAGGTCCAGAGCAACTTGTGGATATGACAGTGGTAGGTATCGAAGGGGGACATTTTTGCGACCTAGGTGTCCCAAATTCCTACTTGTCTAACTGATAAATAATAATTATCTATGCTCATTTATTGTTATGTACATAATTATACATACAGATAAATGCAATTTTCCACAGTCTATTTGTAATCCCCTTTATGTATGCTGGGAGGCAGTTGAACAGTCTTGCGCCCCGAACACTTATTGTGTTGTCTCTCAGTGTACCCCTCCCTCCCTAACATGGCCGACGCGGCTGGTTGTGTAGCGGGCTAGCTGCGGGATTTTCAAGGATAGCTCTTGGTCAAAGAGGCTGACCAGGTCCCTACTTAACAGAACTCAGTGTGAATGTTTTGAGAAGATACCAGAGCAGCGAACGGACTTCCCAGTGCATCGTTTCAGCGTAAATAGTTGAAGTGTTGTGCAGAAGGTTTGGTGTTGTTGAGTCAGGACCAGTCAGCGCCTCCCCCCCTCTCCGCTGGGGGGGGGGGGGGGGAGGGCGTGTGTAGTAAACAGTGACCCTCTCATAACGCCTCGCCCCTGCCCTTCTCCCCGCCTCACCCACCCAAAACTCCCAGCGCCACCCATCTATAGAGGGTACTTCTCCCCTAACCCACGATGTCAGCGATGGCACTGCAGGGAGTGCCGGGCTCACAGGAACTTCCACTACAGGGACAGCATCGTGGAGTTCGACCGCGAGGCAGCTGTCAGGTGTGCCACAGGCAGTGTGTACTCAGTTCCTCAAGCTTCAACATCCGTGCACACGAGGGCCTGGGATTCTTCAGTCAACTTGGCGTCCACCAGGACGCTGACATGTCCCTTGGACAGCTCTTCCATCGGGCTGCTAACGGAGCCACTGGCTTCTTGACCTCTTGGGAGGGTCGATGGTGCTCGTGCAAGCAGCAGATCCCGGGGCAACTTGCTGCTGTTTGCAATGGCTGTCTGCCGAGTAGAGACAGGCACCTAGCAACTTCTGTTGTTGGGGAATGGATGAATTCCCTGCTATGTTTGTTAACTGCTCATTACTCTGTAATTTGTCTATGATTGTAATCATGTGATAACGTGTTTATCATTCATTACCTTTGAAACTTGTCATGATCTTGACCAGCTCTACCTGGAGCTCATTACCTTTGTAAATTCTCATGATTAATGTGTTTATGATTCATTACCTTTGCAATTATTCATGAGTGTGACCAGTTCTACCTGGAGCTCATTACCTTTGTAACTTGGTCATGATTATGACCAGATGTAGTTCATTACCTTTGTAACTTGCTCAGCTATCAAAACTTTGGAGTCCAGTCCCTGGACCAATTATGTACCTCTGTAATCTTTTGACTACCGCCCACAGGATGGGTATGGGTTGCATAATAAACATATTAAACTGAAACTGAACTCTCAGTGTACTTGTGGTGCCCCTGCTTTTCATTCGGGGAATGTTGCATCGTCTGCCGAGTCTTTTGCTTTCATGTGGAGTGATTTTCGTGTGCAAGTTTGGTACTAACCCCCTCTAGGATTTTCCAAGTATATATTATCATGTATCTCGCCTGTATTCCAGGAATGTGTGTGTGTGTGTGTGTGTGTGTGTGTGTGTGTGGTGTGTGTGTGTGTGTGTGTGTGTGCGTGTGTGTGTGACTCAACAATCAATATTTGCACCAATAACACATTACAGTTGTGACCGGGTGTGGAAGTGTGAATTGCTCATTACACTATAATTTGTTCATGATTGTAGCCATGTATAAACGTAAGTAACCATTCTTACAGTATTCATTACCTTTGTAACTTGTGAGTTCATTACCTTGTACCTAGTTCAGCCATCAAAACTTTGGGGCCCAGTCCCTGGACCCATTACGTACCTCTGTAATCTGTAAATACCTTTGTAACTTGTCATGATTGTGACTAGACCTACCTGGAGTTCATTACCTTTGTAATTCGTGAGTTCATTACCTTTGTAATTCGTGAGTTCATTACCTTTGTAAATTGTGAATTCATTACCTCTGTAACTTGCTCAGCTATCAAAACTTTGGAGTCCAGTCCCTGGACCAATTATGTACCTCTGTAATCTTTTGACTACCGCCCACAGGATGGGTATGGGGTGCATAATAAACATATTAAACTAACTAACTAACTATTCCAGGATGTCAGCCACAGCACCGTGTCTTCCTTTGCAGATGACACCCGAATCTGCATGACAGTGTCTTCCATTGCAGACACTGCAAGGCTCCAGGCGGACATCAACCAAATCTTTCAGTGGGCTGCAGAAAACAATATGAAGTTCAACGATGAGAAATTTCAATTACTCAGATATGGTAAACATGAGGAAATTAAATCTTCATCAGAGTACAAAACAAATTCTGGCCACGAAATAGAGCGAAACACCAACGTCAAAGACCTGGGAGTGATTATGTCGGAGGATCTCACCTTCAAGGACCATAACATTGTATCAATCGCATCTGCTAGAAAAATGACAGGATGGATAATGAGAACCTTCAAAACTAGGGAGGCCAAGCCCATGATGACACTCTTCAGGTCACTTGTTCTATCTAGGCTGGAATATTGTTGCACTTAACAGCACCTTCAAGGCAGGTGAAATTCCCCGACCTAGAAAATGTACAGAGAACTTTCACGGCGCGCATAACGGAGATAAAACACCTAATTACTGGGAGCGCTTGAGGTTTCTAAACCTGTATTCCCTGGAACGCAGGAGGGAGAGATACATGATTGTATACACCTGGAAAATTTCCCAGAGGGACTAGTACCGAACTTGCACACGAAAATCACTCACTACGAAAGCAAAGAACTTGGCAGAAAGATGCACCATCCCCCCAATGAAAAGCAGGGTGTCACTAGCACGTTAAGAGACCATACAATAAGTGTCAGGGGCCCGAGACTGTTCAACTGCCTCCCAGCACACATAAGGGGGATTACCAACAGACCCCTGGCAGTCTTCAAGCTGGCACTGGACAAGCACCTAAAGTCAGTTCCTGATCAGCCGGGCTGTGGCTCGTACGTTGGTTTGCGTGCAGCCAGCAGCAACAGCCTGGTTGATCAGGCGCTGATCCACCAGGAGGCCTGGTCACAGACCGGGCCGCGGGGGCGTTGACCCCCGAAACTCTCTCCAGGTAAACTCCAGGTACTCCAGGCAAGACCCTTCAACCGTGGACAGAGACAGATAGCTGCTGCGGTATATGGGCGCCTGGCAAACCTGAGAATAGCGTTCCAGTACCTCAGTAAGGAATCGTTCAAGACTTTATACACTGTGTATGTCAGGCCCATACTGGAATACGCAGCACCAGTTTGGAACCCACACCTGGTCAAACACGTCAAGAAATTAAAGAGAGTGCAAAGGTTTGCAACAAGGCTGGTTCCAGAACTAAGGGGAATGTCCTACGAAGAGAGGCTAAGGGAAATCGGTCTGACGACACAGGAGTGCAGGAGGGTCAGGGAAGACATGATAACGACATACAAAATACTGCGTGGAATAGACAAGG